CTAATTAAAATGGGTAAAGGATATGTGTACACATTTCTCAAAACCAGACTTACAATGGCCAACCACTACATGAAAAAACGCTCAACACCATTAATCATCAGGGAAATGCAAATCAAAACCACAGTGAGATATCATCATACCGGGAGGAATGGCTATTATCAAAAAGACAAAAAATACCAAGTGCTGGAAGGGATGTAGAGAAAAGGGAATTCTTATACACTGTTGGTAGAAAGGTAAGTTAGTACAGCCACTATGGAAAACAGCACAGAGATTTTTCAAACATCTAAAAATAAAACTATCATATAATTCAGCAATTCCACTAATCCAAAGGAAATCAGTATATCAAAGAAATACCTGAATCCTCATGTTTATTGCAGCACTATGCATAACAGCAAAGATATGGAATCAACCTAAGTGTCCTTCAACAGATGAATGGGTAAAGAAAATGTAATATATATAGGAATACTATTTGGCTGTAAAAAAAGAATGAAATCTTGTCATTTGTAGCAACATGGATGGAAACAGATCATTCTGTAAAGTGAAATCAGCCAGGCACGGAAAGACAATATCACATGCTCTTACTTATATATGGAGCCTAAAAAAGTTGATCTCTTAGAAGCAAAGTATAGAAAGACAGCTACCAGAGGCTGGGAAGGATGTGTGTTGGGGGAAGGGATGAAGAGGACTAAGGTACTGAGAACAAACATACAGTTAGACAGAAGGAATAAGTTCTAGCATTTGATAGCACAGCAGGGTGGTTATATTGTATATTTCACAACAATATGTTGTATATTTCAAAGTAACTGGAACAGAAAATTTGAAATGTTCCCAACAAAAAGAAATAATAAACGATCAAGGTACTGGATATTCTAATACCCAGCTTTGGTCACTACACATACTATGCATCTATTAAAATATAACATGTACTTCATGAATATATAAAAATAGTATGCATCAATAAAAATAAAAAAGTTCAGAAATAGACAGATGTATATATTAATTTAACATTAGTAAAGGTAGAATTTCAGATAAGAGGCCAAATAAGAATTATTCAATAAATATGGAGGGCAAAACTGGTTAATTATTATACAAGAACAAAAAATAAGTTAGAGTTCAGAAAGCACTGAAAGAAAATACAAGTTCAATAGACACACTTATTGTGGAGTAGGATATTTTTTCTTCTTTTAGAGACAGGGTCTCAGCTCTGTAGCCCAGGCTGGAGTGCAGTGGCATGATCATGGCTCACTGCAGCCTTGACCTCTTGGGCTTAAGTGATCCTCCTGCCTCAGCCTCCAGAGTAGCTGGGACCAAGTGTGTGCCACCACACCTGGCTAATTCTTTTTTATTTTCTGAAGAGATGACGTCTCACTATGTTGCCCACCTGGTCTTGAACTCCTGGCTCAAGTGATCCTCCTACTGTGGCTTCCTAAACTGATGGGATTACAGGTGTGAGCCACTGCACCTGGCCTGTTTTAAAACGATTGTAAAATATGGCAGTAAGTCACTCAGATGTAATTATGTAGTATGTAGCAACTGTGATATAAGAGACTGAAGGAAAGGGTCAAGTGCAGGGTTGGAGGAGGTAGATCTTAATTGGCTACTGAGCTCATAGGACTGGACTGCAGTGATGAAGAGCATAGGAAAAAAAAAGTAAAAAGACATATGCCAAATACTAGGTTCTATTTGGATGGTGGAATTACGATAATTTCAAATTCATTTGCTTGATAAATTACCTGGTTATAAGTATATGAAACATATCTCAACCAGAAAGGAAAATCGAGGCTGGGCCAATCTATCTAATCTTTCTCACCAAACTACTCTTCCTTTTGTATTCTCTATCCAAATTCAAAATTTAAGGGTGCTAAAACTGATGCTTTAGAGAGGTTAAATCATTTGTTCATGATCATACTGCTAATGATTGGTTGATCAGGGATTCAGATCAACGTCTACCTAACCCCACAGTTCCTTCTTTTTTGCTGCCTTCTGAGACAGTCTTCCTACTCCCAAAATGCTCAAAGCATAAAAGTTAAGAAGATGATACATCTGAAATTCATGAAAATCTTGTGAAACAATTTATTGTTTAGTGGTTTGGAGTTTGATTTTAAGAATCATACCAAAAGGACTTTAAAGGGATAATGTGACCTGGAATTGAGAATCTGAAGAACCTGGGATCAAATATAGGTATTACTTAGCAGCTGCATGATTATGTTTAAATTAATTAACCTCTCTGAGCTGATTTCCACATCAGTAAAATGGGGAAATGGTATCACTTATTTCACAGGATTATTGTGAAGACTGAAAGCAGAAGTTATAGGGAGTTGCTTTTATTAATTATACAGTATTGCATTGATGCTAGCAAATTTAGAAAAAATATAAAAAACAAACAGCTTTTATGAAATCTAAATCTATTTTAAAGTGCTATGAATCTTATTATTGACTATGTAACACATCTATTTGCGATAATAATGCTAACAGCCATGATTCATGAACTTAACAGAGAGTTTCTGGATCCCTCCTGTGAGACAGGCTGTATTGCATTCACATTGTTTTGGTCTGGCTATATTTTCTTTTTGCTGCATTTTAAAATTCTTTAATTGTTTTGTTTTTGTAATCTTTATTTATTTATTTATTTCTTTGAGACAGGGTCTTGTTCTGTTGCCCAGGCTGGAGTGCAGTGGCATAATCACAGCTCACTGTAGCCCCAATCTCCCAGGCTCCAGCAATTCTCCTGCCTCAGTCTCCCAAGTAGCTGGGACTACAGGGATGAGCCATCACACCCAGCTAGTTTTTGTATTTTTTGTGGAGACGGGGTTTTGCCATGTTGCCCAGGCTGGTCTCAAACTCTTGAGTGAGACTCAACCAATCCACCCACCTTGGCCTCCCAAAGTGTTAGGATTTCAGGTGTGAGCCAAGGCACCCAGCTTGTTACTGTAATCGTTTGTAAAATATATAAATTAGAAAAACTGTGCTTTTAATACTTAATTAGAGCATTAATTTTTTTTCTCCTTAAGGAAACTCAATCATGTAGTTGCACAGCATTATTAAAGATGACAAGTCTCTAAAACATTAGAAGTTTTGGTTTTATGAAAAAAAGAAAAAAAATTAAATAATTCAAAATGAAAACACTTTATTCATGCAAATTATCTTTAATTATTTAAGAAGCAAAATGAGAGATAAAGGTAATTCAGTACAGCAAAATCTTTTCTAAAATGTCTCAAATTATTACAATAGTGAAATGATAACTACTATCAATTAATATATTACTGTTACCACAACTGTTATACTGGTAACTTGTGTAGCAAAACAAAACAAAACAAAACAAAAAACAATACTACTTTCTTTTAAATATGCTACTGTTTAGCTGGGGTTTGTTCTCTATTTTATTATGGTGGTATAATAATGTCAGCGATTAACTTGATCTATACTCATATTCAAGCCTTCAAGTTGCCTGAATTTCTAACACTAAGAATCCCTTTAGCAAGCAAAGAGTCAAACAAAAGACCAAACAAAACAAATCTCAAAAAACTCAGGTGCAAAGTTATTCTGAATTTCCACATTTCTCAAAGTATAGTACCTCTACATTTATTTATATGACCATCTGACTAATCTCCCTGTCCCCTGGAAGGATAAGCTTCATATGGGCAGGAATAAAGGTTGGTTTTACTCATCATTGTATTCTCAGCACCTTGCAGAATACCTAACACACAAGCAGGGACCTGATAACTATTTGGAAAAAATTTTATGTGAATAAATAATTGTTAAAATGAAAAAAGTAGTAACTTTGGATAATTTGTTTTGACCTTCCAAAAAAGCATGAATTAAAACCCCTATTTGTATGAATTATGTTCAAATTAGCTTTCAAATGGATAAAAGAAAGTTGCATCCCTAAAGGGAGACCAATGCTCATTTAAGTCAATGAGCAAACATTCAGTGAGCATATACCAAGCATAAAGCTCTTTCCAGATGATAGCAATATGAAAAAAAAGTAAGATATGGTACCTGTTCTCAATGAAATGTTTTAAAACAACAGTGACCATGTAAGATATTAATAAAGAATACCCATCAGAGAAAAATATCAGAGGTGATATTTAAACTAAATCTTAAAAGATAAATAAGAGCATGGCAGATGCACAAATGGGAAAAGTCATTCTGAGTAAAGGAAAAAAAATTTACACAGGCACAAGTGTAAAAAAGCATGGTCTGTTTGGGAAACACTAGATAAAAAAATGTGTAATCCTGATAAATGCCACAGGGAGGTCAAAATGAAGACTAAAAAGGGATGAAACTAGCAATTAAATGTTGTTATATCTGGCACATGCCAATTCTGGATGGGCAACTACATTTATTTATATATCTTCCTAATGTGGCTTCACATCAGTTTTGAAAACCCTTAGGATACTGCCTAATATATAATTTCCACAGTTTTGTGAAGTGTAACAGGCATAGATAGGAAAAATTTAACAAAGGAAACATTTCAGGTTGATGGTCAAAATAGCATATATGCTTTCTTTTAAAGCTAGGTAGGGCCAGGTGTGGTGGCTTATGCCTGTAATCCCAGCTCTTTGGGAGGCTGAGGCGGGCAGATCACTTGCGGTCAAGAGTTCAACACCAGCCTGGCCAACACAGTGAAACCCTGTCTCTACTAAAAATACAAAAAAAATAGCCAGGTATGATGGCATGCACCCGTAGTCCCAGCTACTCGAGAGGCTGAAGCAGGAGAATCACTTGAACCCAGGAGGCGGAGGTTGCAGTGAGCCGATATTGTGCCACTGCACTCCAGCGTGGACTACAGAGTGAGACTCCACCTTAAAAAAAAAAAAAAAAATTCTAGGAGGAAACTCATTTTTAAGTTATGGGCTGTAAAGTACTTTAGATCCTGCACAAGATTAATTCAAAAGGTAAAAAAATTAAAACTATGTGTTAAGTTGAAAATATCTCCACCACATATAATTTAAACACCAACTTTAAAAAAGCTTTTAAATTAAAAAAGAAAGTCTCACCTTCCTCTGGTAAATAGCAATCCAATCTGTCGTGGCAAACCACTTGTGAGTTTTTATATCACTGACACCATTCTTTAGATTTCCATATCTCTTGGTCAAATCCACCTGCAGCAGATTCCGTAGAAGGTCCTTGAGATCTGAACTGAAGTGGGATGGGAATCGGACCTACACAAACACACCATTTGGTAAAACACACATTCTAAGACTCATGATATTTCTGTTTTGATTTCATAAAGTCTTTTTTTTAAGGCAACAAGCCATTATATGAACAAAAATATGGAGCGATGACCTTCACATACTTTTAACTACATGTTACAGTCCCCACAGTAGTCATAAAGGAGAGAATTACTTGGGTGAATGAACTAAACCTGTTCTCTTAGGGCCTTGCTTTGGTCATGATGTCTTTAAGAACATGGAGCAGTCTCCAGAAAAATGTGCATACCTACAGAACTTTTGCAAAATATCAGAAGGTTCACCTATCTTTAAGAGCAATCTCTTTGGATCGTACATTACAAATCTGTGTCTCAAAGATATACAAATTTAACTTTGTAATATAAATAGAAGAACCAGCATATGAAGGAAATCAGTATGTACATTTTGAAAAGAGATCTATCAAAAAGGAAGTCTAAAAATGGTTGTAAAAACCCACACTGCCTTTCACAGCATAGGAAAAATTTTTCATTTATCAGAGGTTGGCTTTTAAAAATAATTCTCCTATTACGCAACAGTTTAAAAATGATTTAGACTGGTTTAAAAGCATTTTTCTACCTACTAACTTGTGAAGACTTTACAAAAATACTAGACTGGCCTCCAGCCTTAAAAACAACTGGAAACCCCCAAATAAGTGAAGATTTTTGGCAATCAGTAAGGTTAAAGTAACATTTATAGGAAACCTAAGTCTATTTTTCATTTTGTTTTGTTTAAACACATTCTTCTCTTCTATACCAACCTAACTTCTGGTTCTTACTGTTTCATTGATATGGGTACTAAAAAAATTAAAATGGGTACCACCAAAGGATGAGAGAATAGCTGCATCTATGCCTCCTTATTCTTTTTTGTCATCACTACCACCTCCCCACTATCCTTTCCAACTTGTGTTAAATCCCTTCCACCACCCTTTTCCCTGTCATACACACATATGTATGCACACATGTATGTGTATACATATCTGGATTATTACAGCCTCAACTACAAATTGATCATAGCACCTTTGTAGAAAATACTTTAAAGGGTTAAGAGACCCATTCCCGAACTCTCTGCATTCTTATTTTGTTTCTCTACAAGTGCTACCACTACATAATTTACATAGTGCATCATTATATTACCTCAGTTGCTCTTTATAATACATTTACTTATTCAACTATGCTGTAGTATTTGTGCATATTTCTGTCTCCCCCAGGCTCTGAGCTTCTGAGGGAAGGTACTGTGCCATTTTTATTCTCAGTATTTATTAGACTATTTCAAATACTGTAGTTCATCCATTTTACAATTATTTATTGAGTACCTACTATATGCCAGGCACTATTCTAGGTGCTGGATATAGAGCAGTGAGCAAAACCAGGCAAGTCTCTGATTTCATGGAACTTACATTCTAGTTGGATAGGACAAATTCAGTGAATATGGTATTAACTCCATTTTAAAGATGGAGAAACTAAGATTCAGCAATGTTACTGGGTATAGCTTCCCCAGTCATCAGGCCATAAAGTGGCACAATTGGGACTAGAAATCTAGTCATGATTTGTATCTTCATGAATTTTGCTCTTTATTACACTGTCTTCAAATATATAGACTCCTTAATTTATATTCTGACTTTCTAAAAGCTCAACATACTTGACAGACATTCTCATGTTCTCAAAGTAGAAGTTAAATAATTAGCATGCAAAGATAGGTTTTATAGTACAGTTAAATTCAAAACCATAGCTTTTGACTGCCACTTTTGTGCTATTCTATAAGTAAATTCTCTTAAAATCTGGTCCTAGGACCCATGCACATCAGAATAAACTGGGAGACAAAAGGATAAAAATGTGGATTCCTGTGGCTTGCCTCAGATGATAGGGGTATTGGGCCTGAAAATCTGAGCTTTTATTGCCAAGGGATTCATATGTACATAAAAGCTTGAAAAGCACTATTCTCAACTCTGTTCACTACTTTATGCAGAGGTTTTATTTTCTATGCTAGTAAAAGATCATAGCATTTTAAATGTAAATAATAACAATACAGTAAATTGAAATCATTATCATACCAGAGGAAAACTAATATTGTATCAAGCAACCAAAGACTATTTAAAGGGTTCATAGTCAATAAATGACCAGGATTGGGGCTCAACTCATACAAATTAGCAACTCAAAATCTCATTTTTGCAAGGCCCTTTATTATCCTAGATTATGGGCAGTTTTATGTTCTAAAACAGTAAGGTATGTGAACTTCTACCTTCTCTAGTTTTATTCTTGACACAATGGTTTACTAGAAGCTAGGCATTATGCTAAACACTGTGTACTGGCTCATAAAATTGGATTATTATCCAAATGTTATAGGTAGGGGTGAAGCAATTGAGACCTACAGAAATTATTTTGCCTAAGATTACAGAGCTAATAAATAGTAAAGGTGTAATTCCAAACTGGGTACACTGACTGCAGGGTATATATTTTTAATTATTTATTCTCCTTCCATGATTCAATAACTTAAAAATAGTCATTATCAGGAACCTTCTAAAAGACTGAAATTTTCATCTTAAAAGTATTTTGCTGCACATTTCCTCATTTACCTAGATGAAGTAAGAACTAGAGAATAAGGGGTATTCAAAAGGCACACTGTCTACTTTAAAGATAACATGACATTTTTCCAGTGGGTATGTTAGCTCAGATTTTTCCAGTGATAAATCTAAACTTTATTTAGATTCCAAAGAAATAATTTATTTGAAGTACATCTATATTTGTTTAGGATTAAATTTGTGTGAACTGTTCAATAGTAATGTACCAGTTATCTCTTTCATTATGTTCAAACAGCAGACAGTAATATACTACATATAAATTATCTTTGGAATTCAGGTAATATGCAATAGAATGCATGAAAAATAAAAGCATCTAAATAATGTAGTTCTTTATTTTGGAATGCAAATAAAGTGATGGTCTTGACTCTGTGTGTGTGTGTGTGTGTGTGTGTGTGTGTGTGTCTTTAATCTTCAGAACAGTGATTCTCAAATGGGGAGTGATGGGAGGTCATGACTGCAGATATCAGAATGATTTGGGAACCTTTTCAAATTATGGACATATCCTCCTCACCTCCATATCACACTCTCTTCTCCAGAGATTCTCACAGGTAGCCCACACTCTCATAGTAGTTAGTCCATGTTAATAATGGGAATCTGTCATGTATTTAAAGTATTTTGGGGGAGAAATAATGAAAGTCATTGTGAAAGTATTTTTTCCCATGATTATTCTGAAATTTAACTTGAAACGTAATTTCCTTGTTGACTGAACTTTCCAAAGAGCCATGTTGATTTATCAAACCGGAATTAGTGAAAAACAGAAAATAACTTCAACAAAATTGTTTTAAATGCACAACTTTTATTTGTAATACATCAACCTCGAGACACTAAAGATTTCTATGATGGGAGGAGTGACTATCTAATTTTTCCTTTAAAACTATATCAAAAGGGTATTACTTTTATCATTATTATCAATTATAACTACTATAGAAAGTGAAATCAAAATCTTCTAATATTGGAGCTAGAGGGTGCTTAGTTTGAGTTTAAACTCTCATTTTAAAGATAAGGAATCTGAGCTCCAGTGAGACTACCAACTCAGTTAGTGGAATTATTGGGAAAATAACTTAATCTTCCTGTCATATACCTATGAGCTTTTTGCCAGTCCAAGATAGGGCAAATAATGTGAAAGTAAATGTAAAGAGCCAGATGTTGAAAAGAGAAAGACAGTCTAAAATCATTTAGCCATTAGGTCTGAGAGATAAGGTTATGGGAAACTGGCATCATTTAACATGGAAGAAGTGTTTGTATAACATAAAATAGGTGTTTGTGATATGTACACCTCCCAAGGTGTTTTCTTCAATATTTTTTTCTTCAATATTATTTATTGTTTAGGAATATTTTCCAACCATTAGAGACTATATTACTTCTGATTTTTCTAATTAAATTTTCTGGAGAATAAATCTAATTCCCCAGTGAGGTACAGATACACAAAACAAGCTCTCAACACATGGTGTTTATCAAAATCACTTGTGATACTTAAAAAAAATGTTTTGAATCCACAGAAGACCTCTTGAGTCAGTAACTCTCAGGAAAGACACCAAAGATAGAGTACACTTCATGAAAGCTTCATGAAGCCAGAGACCACAACTGACTTGCTGTATCCAGCATGTAGAACTGGTCTGGCACATACTGTGAGCTTCATAAGTATTTAATGAATGCATGAATTGAAATTTGACAAATATTCATTGAACCTCTACTATGTGTTATGCTTGTAATAAGCAAGTACTATGTGCTTACTAATATATCTCAGGAATTTGTGCTTCGATTATATAAGTAGACAAAATAAGATGAAGATTTCTGACTTCATGGAGTTTACATTCTAGTGAAGAAGACAATTAAAACTTAGCAACCGAGGGATCCTTTAACAATGTTATCCTATCTTCTTCATAAAACTTTGCATTGTAAGGTGTTTGACTTTTACTCTGAAGAAAATGGGGAATCCTTGCAAGGTTTTAAAAAGAATAATAGGATATGATTTAACATTTTTAAGGAACCACTCTAGTGACTCACTTAAGAGCAACAGCAGTGGATGTGGTAAGAAGTGGCTGAATTCTGTAAATTCTAAAGACAAAGTAAAAATGGTTTCCCTGTGCATTAGATATGAAGTGAGGACTCCAATGTGTCTTGGCCTGACCAACTGAAAGGGTGGAGTTGCCATCAGTTTAGACGGGGAAGGCTTCGTGAAGGGGGGTGGGTGGAGTGTAGGAAAGAGGACAAAAACTTGTCAGTTTTAGACAGGTTGAATTTGAGGTATATATTAGATATCCAAGTGAAGATTTCAAGTTAGAAACTAGATACAAGAGTATGGAATTTCGGAAACATGTATGGACTGGAAAAATGAGTTTGAGAATTGTCCTGAGCATTTAAGTCATGAGACTGGATGAAACCACCCATTGAG